CGGTACAAAATACCGTTTGCTGTTTTTTAGTAAAGCATTTTATTGCTGATAATGATCCGGCAATATGTTTTACTGATATTGAAAACTTAAATTTGGTGCGTACGTTTTTTTTGTTAAATTTGTTCCAGATATGCAGAATGATCTAACAAATCAATTGGTATACTTACTTTTGCAGTGTTGGGAAAATATCAAAAGATCAAAGCTCACCAAAAAACAAGATCACGCTTGATTTTCGTCGACAGAAAATCAACAAACAAACAACTATGGTTGATATTGCAAGCTTTGATATCGCAACTCGGAATATCAAGCTAAATAAACTCACCAGCTGCAAATCTAACCAAACGGTGGTGAGCAACCGAAACTTCCATAACGGCTGGCAGCTGTCGGTTCATTTCTGCCATCGTTGAAGAGAAAAAAGAGATAGCAAACTATACTTTTTCTTTCTAAGAAAACAAGGTACAAGGGAATCATTTTTGCAGCGATTGAACTCTCAGCTTCAACTTTACACGTTGTGAATAGTCTCGCAATATCAAAGGAGCTTGAAAAATCAATATCAAGCATGATAAATTTTGTTGCAATATCACGCGTGATACTGAGAGCGTGCAAATGCAAATGCAAAGAGCAAATCTCAGCACTGACTACAACAAAAATTAGAGCAATGTAAGTGAAAATCAATCATTTCCCATACTAATTCACCGAAATCTCCATACAAACTTCACGTCATTTGCACGACCTCTAAACCCTCATCAGAAATTCATAACTTTGGACTTATTTGTAGAAATATTGAAATTTTACATAGTCTCAGAAGCTGCAATGTATTCCAATGCCAAAACAATTGCTATGTTCTAGATGCTTCAAAGTTGGCCAAAGATTTAAATTGTTTGAAAGTCTCAGAAATCATCTCAGGACCCTAAAAAAATGAAAATATATATATATCTAAATAAATGAAAAATTGGCAAAGTTTCTGAGATCTGAAAAAACAGCAAATAAGGTTATCTTACATTTAATCCACTTAATAAATTTTGGTATCCATGACAGATACGTATTTCAACTACAATGTACTGTCTTCATCAGTGTCATTCCCACTAAAGAACTTACCAAAATCTAACCCCTTAAGTACTCATCTCCTAGGTAAAAAAGTCAAGATCACAGGTATAAAAATGAAACTACAATGTGTTGAATTGGAACCTACCTAACTAATAAAAACCAAAGATTTAAGTAAACGAAAGGAGAAAAATCTGTACAACTCTCTAATAAGTAGGTTCCGATTCAACACATTGTAGTTTCATTTTAGATTTTGATAAGTTCTTTAGTGGGAATTACACTGATGAAGACTGCACATTGTAGTCGAAATACGTATCTGTCATGGATACCAAAATTTATTAAGTGGAATAAAATGGAAGATAACCTTTTTTGCTGTTTTATTTAAGCATTCCGCTAACAACCCAATTTCATTACTTCATTACCAAGCCTTTGGGATTTTCCTTATTAGAGAGTTGTACAGATTTTTCTCCTTTAGTTTACTTAAATCTTTGGTTTTTATTAGTTAGGTTCCGATTCAACACATTGTAGTTTCATTTTTATACCTGTGATCTTGACTTTTTTTTCACCCAGGAGATGAGTACTTAACGCGATTAGATTTGGATAAGTTCTGTAGTGGAAATGACACTGATGAGTAATCGAGAACATTACCGAAAAATCTATAAACTGAATCAGCAAAATTAGCTGTCAAATTTACCGAACGATCAATAACGTTTACCGATGTGCATTTCTTGATTTGTAGTCGACTTTACCGGATAAATGTAATGTTGAGGACGATATGCAAATTGTAATTTTTTAGGTAACCGACTCAATTTTAGTTTGCTTTAATATTGTTTCAAGGTGGTGGTCACTGCAACCCATGCAAAAATTTGGCTGTAGTCGTGATCAATGTGTTAGTATTGCAAATTGCTCCACCAATGAACAAAAACAAGTTTTTGCCGGAAGGATTCGGCGCTACACTGAAAACAGGGAAGCATTGGATGAAGAATCCAAATGCTGTTTTCAGATCGTCACCAACGGGAACGGAACTTAGACTGACGGAAAAAGCAAGCAACAACATCGGCCATTTGTAATCGGTATTTATTTAGATACCGAAAATTAATTACTTACGGAAAATATCTACGATTTGCTCATCTTGGTGTTGCATAACAGCCTCCATAATTTCACCTTTTTATTTTTCACAAACACGAATGTTTTCAAAGTCGATCGAAAATCACAATATGGTGGATTTGACGTTTACCGAGACTGTTATCGAACTCAGTAATGGAACGCTTTGTTTACCGAAACTTCAGTAAAATATTTCACCGAAGTCAGTGATGAAGCTGATTATCAGACCTTCCGGTAAAAATGTTTACCGTTTTCGTTAAATTAAAATGAAATTACCGAAATTCGGTCATTTCAATTACGGTTTTCATCAATAAAGCGAGAAAATACCGAAACATCTGTAATTTTCAGCATTACCGATCTACGATGGTATTTTTTTTTTTACCAAACTCAGGGTCTCTGTTTAAGTGTGTGGATCTTGATTGTTTCCTTTGATTTGGATCATGAAAATATTTTAAGTGTTAGGAATAATGTGTGAGATTAAGAAATGTTTCCAAGCCCTGTACACACTAAATCTACACACTTAGAAATACCTAATTTTACACGTGACGGAATCCATCTTTGACATACAGGATGAGACGTAAACAAACATGTCATGTAAAATTAAGTGCTCCGAGACTGAAAAGTTCGGTACTCGACGAAAAGTACGTTTGATTGAGCTGAGTTTTGCGTCTATTACGACTCAATTTTATGTCAAAAATGACGCTCGTATATGTCAGTCTCAGAGCACCTAAATTTACATGAATTTTTTTTAAGTGTGTAGCTCGATAAAATCTCTAACAGCCGATTACTTCGGCATTTACTTTTGCTGATATATCTCCAAAATATCTGTTTGTTAGCTAATATCTCAGCAACATGATATTTGTTAGCAGAGTCTCGGCAATTATTTTACTAAATCTCAGCAAAATAAATTGCAGAACTACTCGGCTGTTGGAATCTCGGCGAAAAATTTTAAGTGTGTAAATCTTCAGTCTGATGAGCCAATTATCACAGAACAGAAGGGGAAGTGCAAACAAATCGATGAATCAAAAAGTGATTCGTTTTTCTGCTCAATAAGCAGTGTGTTGTGGTAGCGTTCCACATGGGCTTTCTATGTGCACTCACACTATCATAGCATGCTGCCTATCTTAACTGCAGGCAGAATATGCCTTCTACCGCTAGGTGCGCTAGTGTTCGCAAATGACAAGTGGAGCCACTTTCTGATCCGAAGTTCCACTCGTGTGCAATTATCCTTAATAGGTTTTGCTTAATCACCCCTAAGGCCCGGCTCCCCACAGCTCTTTTGATCAGTATTGAGGTTCAGCAACTGTGCTTAATTTGACCGAATTCTGTTACGATATGGATTTGCGGGAGAGCTTTAAAGTTTTATAGGAAAATGTATGGGAAACGGAACAAAACTATTCATTTGCTTGTAATGTTTTAAAAAATTGCTCAATTTTTACCAACCATGGGATTTAGGTTGAGAAAACTATACGGAATAACTCCGTCCAAGACCGCAAATCAATTCGACTTCTGTACAAAAAGTTATTATTTTTTTACTGTTGACCTAGTGCTCGAGACATACCTATACAAGCTTATCTGTACGCAAGTATGTATGCGCTGAGCCATACACTCAAAATAATCGACACGTTACTGTTACGTGAAAAATCACGTAAGGTATCTCTTTTTACTTTGCTGTCAATTTTACGTGGCCCAAGTAAACGCTACACGATACCACTTATATGTGAACCGAAATTCCTTTCGAAATCGCCAGAATTTTTAATGAAGTTTACGTGATTTACACATACACAGATTCTATGTGCGTTTCACGTAAACCCTAAGTGATTTTCACGTTTGAAAAAAATAAATGAGTTCACTCATAGTGCTATTCAATATGATGCTAGTTTATTGTGCATGTTTACATGTCATTGAAAGCCCATATTGGTTTGATTTTTATTTTTGTGAGGCAATATCGAGTAGTAGGTATAAATAATTAAAATTTTACATGTAGATTAATTTAGGTTGTTCCTTTTTTAGTATGACAACAAGGACCATCATGTATGGACTTCCAATGAAGTGGAAGTTATAAGCCGATGCAGTTTTGTTAGTGTTCCTGTTTCCGATCCTTGTCTCGGTCGAATTTTATTTCATTATTATCTGTTTCTTTGGTAACAAAACACGCCGAAAACGACGCAGAAATCATCGCCATACAAATTCCTATGGCGACGATTTCTGCGTCGTTTTCGGCGTGTTTTGTTACCAAAGAAACAGATAATATATTTTTAATAACGATGTGTTTTTTTTTTGTCTATTTATGTATATTAAGAAATAAAGAATAAATTTTATTTAAAAGAAGTCGTCATTAAATAATCAATTGCAATCACCATGAATTTTATCGGAAGAATCACATGACTTCTACGTGATAATCCTGTGACGTAGAAGCTCACTGAATTGAGTGCCTCCATATGTGAATCACGTAACTCTTACGTGAAAAATGCGATGGAAAAAATCTATGTGTGTTTTCACGTAGCATTGATGTGAGGATTATTTTGAGTGTACTTAAAAAATAATAACTTTTTGCGGTTTTGGACGAAATTGTTCTGAATACATTTCTTAATCTTAGTCCCAGGTGAAGTAAAAGTTAAGCGATTTTTAAGTTTTTAACCAGCAATTGAACAGTTTTGGTCCGTTTCCCATGCCAACTTTAAAGCTCTCCCGCAAATCCAGATCGTAACCGGATTCGTTGGGGACCTCAAAACGAATCTCAAGAGCTGTGGAGAGCAGGGGTTTGTTATGTTGACCTATCCTATTGGACACCTTTTGCATTCTAATCTCTCGAAAACATTAAGGTAAGAGTTTGAATGTTGAATAATTACCTTCCCCTGTAGCGAAACGTTCGACCCATTGGACAGCCGGACGATGGTCTGCAAGCTGGCCGGCGTCGATGCACTTTTGATGATAACTGACGATCCGTTGTTGTCCGAAGCGCATTCCTTTGCAATCTCTTCCTCCAAGTTGCGCACCGCAATCGGTTTGGAAACCCTGGGCATTTTGGCAGCGTGCGATAGTAGCGGTGCCTCCATGATTTTCGTATTATAACTGGGGCTCGACGTCTGGCTGAAACTGTCGCTCGATATGCTCGAATCTTGTCGCATGCTCACTCGTGGTGGAACGGATCGTACAGTGGCTGGATTGTGACTTTCCTGCTGCAAGGAGGACTGCTTGGTGTCCTGCGGGGTGGCGTTGACGGACGTGTTCGAATTGGTTTGCTGGTGTAGTAGCTGTTGCGGGTGCGGCAGCTGATGGCTTCGCATCGTCGAACGGTTCATTTTGGATGTGTGTTGGAGGAGGGGTGCTTCCACGTTCTTGTTGCTGTAGCCGGGGCTAGATGTAGCCGAAAAGCTATCGCTTGATATGTTGGAATCCTGTCGTTGGTTGACTTTCGAGTGATGCACTTGATTTAGCGGTGGGGGCTTGTGCATGTTACGCCGGAAGCCGGTCGGACGACTGTAAAGCTCTTGTACATTTTCCAGGCTGGTTTTGTGGTTGAATGGAGTGTTGTTGAGGTGCTGCTGATGCTGCTGTTGTTGCTGTTGGCGTTTCTGTAATTTACGTGATTCGAATGCTTGCTGAGAGCGTGATGGCAGCGCGGGTGGCGTTACGCGATTGGGAGGTGGAATCTTAGGTGGAACGTTGGTTTGCTTCCGAGTGGGAACCATTGGTAAACGGCGAGCACTTTTGTTTTCGATGCTGCGTGGTGAACAGTTGTCCATTTTTTCGTCGGTCGAATTGGGTGATATCGAACTGGAGTTCCGCATTTGGCCATTTTTGACGTCAAAATTGAAAATGTTCTTTTTCAAACTGAATGGCGAATCGTTCATTTGCAGTGAATCGATCGTGTCTGTTCGGTGTAGTTCGGATGAAAGAAAACTATCCAACGAGGATTGGGTGTCTTCGGAGGAAAAACGACTTCGGAAGGTGCCTTTGGTTGAACTTGCCGTCGTAAAAATTGACCTATCGTTCTCGTTGGCCGACACGTAACCGGTATCTATGGTGGTTTGGGATTTGTTCGAATCACTAGATGACCGATTGGATTCTATTGAGGACATCTTTTTGTTGAAAATTACGAAATCATCCGTATCGCCAATATCATCGAAACTCGTCGCACTTACGCTAGTGTGGCAGGATCCAATGTTTTTAGGTTTGTTTGTGGTAAAAAATCCAAACGTTTGCTCTTCGAATGCAGATTGACAGATTCGATCCGGTCGATATTGAGCATAGCTATTTGGTTGCTGGTGGTGGTAACCATCCAATGTTACGCTCGAGTTGCGACTCTGACCGTCAAATGATTCCGACTGCCGTTGGGTGAACTTACCCTGAAAAGTTCGTTTTGGCACTGGAGGAGGAACTAGTTGCAATCCGGGAGGTTTCTTTATTTGGCGCTGAGGAATCTGATAGTTTTCATCCTCAATCATAGGAAACGAATCGGACGAATGTCGACGACCACTGGAACTCTTCGGTGGTGGCGTCAGGTTGATTCCCTCGTATCGATTATGCTTTTCTAGCAAGTGCAGAAGTGAGTGGTTTGTCAAACTGCCGGCACGTGTAGTCCTGCGGATGGGAACAGTGCGATATCATCAATTACCAACGATGTGCACACAAATCGACCAATAGAAATTTCCATAAATTAAAATCTACGGTTCAATGGTCGTCTCTTACCTTTTATCACGTTCATCCAATCCACTGGTTCCACCACGGTCTGCGTAATTAAAGGATGTCGCGTCGCCAATGCTCGCCTCTGGCACATAGGAACAGTTTGCAAATGAGGCTGCCATGTCGATTACACAAATGGGAATCACAACTCGTCTGAAAGGGAGAGAAAGAGAAAGAGTATTAGCAAAAAACCAACCACAATTTGATTAGAGATGTGGAGTAAGTTGATGCTGCCAAGCACCATGTATGCACATCATCAGTATGATATGTGATGTGTGATGTGTAGTACACCAAGCGTCTCCATAGAGCAACATTCGAGATCCCGGGAATCGTTCACCACGAGGCAACAACAATAACAAAACCGTCCGACGCAATTGAAGCAGCTAGATCGTAGTGGATGAGAATGTTTCTTATTGTACTGTTATTAGAGATGCTAATGTGCCGCTTTTTGTCAACAGCGCGATATCCCCTGTAACAATTTTATTTGTGGTTCTGATTTTAGAAGGCAAATGCTGAGTTAATCTGTTCGTCATTTTTTTTTTCCGGAGAATCCAAGCAAATTGCGCTCTCATGTTCTTTTTCAAAAGAAAACAAGCTAACAATGCATCATTACTAGCTGTTTTTCCTTCTTGTTCACAATATTGGCTGATAGAGCTTGTCTGCTCCGCTGGGTTCCATCATCTGATAAGTTTAGCACATACACAAAAAGTAAGTGATGGCAGTACACGTGCATCGTACTCGAAATGGTGTAATATCTAGTATGAGAAAAACAAGCTTGTCATGTATGGATGCCTGTTCACTGATGGTGATCCTTCAAAGTGGCATAAACAGCCGGTGGTGATAAAAAAGGGTTCGTTATCGCGAAATGTATTTCCTTTTGACAAATGAGTGGAATAATGATTTTAATCGTTTGTATTTTAAACGTAAATGAACACAATTGAACTTTTGCCTTTTGAATTCCAATTGGTTGAAAATAATTACATTCCTGCTAATTCTCTGAGATGCCTTTGTTGGTACCGATATTCCTAGTAGGCTTAGTTCTTAGATGGAAGTTCACTAAACTAATGAACGGAAAATTACGCAGATGAAACCAAGACCATTCTTCATCAAAGCCCACTTTTATTTGCGATTACATAATTTATATAATAATCACGAGGACCAGTTAACCGGGAAATCGGAAAAACTGCAAAATGCCAGAAATTTTATGTTACCGGAAAAAAACGGGATTAACCCGTGAATTTCGTTGCTAAATAAGAAAAAAAAATATTCTTTTCCTCTCTTTCGAATAACATTTTAACTGGACTAGATTTTCAGGATACAGTGACTTTGAAGAATAAAAAAAAAATGATGATGATGGTCCCACCTCTAACCCCTACAGAGGTTTGAGCTGGACGAGTTATCTTTAAGATAATTAAATAAAAACATTTTGACCAGGTTTGCAAACAAAATCGAGCTGGTTACAATTACAGATATAAATGTCCTGTTAAATATGCAATAGGCATCAACTAAAAACATTCAAAGGTGTAATTAGTTATCAAGAATCCAAGTACAATCCTCGGCAATACTTCCATTTACACGTGACCCGGGGTTTACACGTTTAAGCTTCCGCAGTGCCAGGAATATATCCAACGAATCGACTTCCAGCCAACCCTTTACTAATTCAAGGTTTTTGCCACAATTTCAACGTATTAGTCATTTATATCTGTATTCCGTGCGTGAGGCTCAAACCATTGTAGACTATTCAAAGCTATTTTTACTATTACTACTACAAAATCAAAAAACTAAAAATCCATCATCACCATCGAGGCAAACAATTTAGTTTTTAGTATATGCTACACAAATTACTAAAATGTCTTTATGACTGTCATCATACAAAATAATCCGTTAGAGATAACTTTGTCAAGATACATAATTTATCCATTCATAAAAATGTAACTGCTCAATAAACAGCTTTTACATGTGAAATGCAGCGTCTCTTAAATTCTGTAAGTGTAGTTGCACGCTTGATGTGTCTAGGCATCGAATTGAAAACATTTATACCATTGAAAAATAAAGAATTTTGTGAAGCATTTTTCAAAAGATGTGGTGTTCTTACTTTTTCCGCGTTTCTAGTGTTATATGTATGAAAATCACTTCCTCTCTCAATCCAATCACACAAATATCAAACCGTTAACTACTTCAAAAATGAACACCATAGTCAAAAACACAATTCTTTGCTTCACTGACAGCCATTGCGTCCAGCATAAAAGTTGAGGAAGTGAATCTATTACATCTTAAAATCAAACGCATTACTTTATTCTGCAAACGCTGTAATCTCGATATTTGTGTTTCATTGGCCAAAAATAAAATGGAAGGGTAAAAGTCTAGATGAGGGGAGATGATTGATTTGTATAACTCTATTTTTCTACCAATAGTTAAATCGTTTTTCAAGCGACTTACTTCTTGGCAATTTTCTTGATGACATGGTCATATGAGAAATGAACTTGAGTTTATCATCAAAAATCACGCCAAGATATTTAATTTCCTGAACGCGATCAATTGTATCATCATCAATATCAACAGAGATATGAATTTGGTTTTGCTTATATTCAACTTCAATTGTTTAGACTTTAACCACCTACTTAGAGAACGCAAATCTTTATTCAAGCGTGAAACGGCTTCTTCTAAATCTTTAGCTGCAATGAATAACACAGTATCCTCAGCAAAAAGATTAATATCACAAAACCGTTGAACTCGTTGCATGTCATTAATAATAAGGGCCCTGATACACTTCCCTGAGGCACTCCAAGGTCATTGTCAACGGGACAAGATACAACATCATTAAAAACAGTCCTTTGTGTTCTGTCAGATAAATAGCTTTCAAACCATTTGCATGCAGAACCCGAAATTCCAATACGCTTGATTGTTCTCAACAATAAGGGCCTAGAAATTGTCTCAAAAGCGCGTTTTAGATCCTAAAACACAACAACAATCGTATCTTTATGCTCCAAATTTTCTTTCCATTTAGCTAACACTAAGTTTAACGCGGTTTCACAAGCATGACCTTCCCGGTATCCCGATTGCTTCGGTATCAACAAACAGTTACTATTTAAATATTCTAACAGCTGGCCTTTTACAAAAAGTTCTAAAATTTTCTCTAATGTGTTCAACATGTTGATGGGACGAAACTCTTGGGCTTTAATCGACCCAGCATCTTTTTGTATAGGAACAACTAAAGAATCTTTCCAAATATGCGACACGTGCCCAGATTGCAATAATTGATTAATAAGGTCCCGCAGAGTGTGTCGAATGACATGAAAGCAATCTTGAATAACTCTAGCATTAAAAAAATAAAAAGCAAATATTTTTAAGTTCATTTGATGTGATTGGGTGAAAACCATCAAATCTACAATTACTATTAATCGGTTGTTTTATTTCGTCCGGTTCATTGACCAGTTCAATAGATTGATTGATCAGTGAAACGCTCTCCATGAAATAGTCATTAAACTTAGAAGCAATTACTGGTTCTGACTGTTCTAATATGCCATCAAATGTTATGGACCGCGATTTACAATTACTAGGCTTCATCAAAGATTTCAAAATTTTCCATAACTCTTTGCTGTTGTTTTGATGCTGATCAATTTTCCTCTGAATATATTCACATCGAGTTTTCTTTATCGATTGTGAATATTTATTACGCGCGACCGTGTACCTATTCCGATGATTATCACTATTAGATCTACAAATTTTTTTGTACCATTTGTCTCTTTTCCGTTTAAGACGCAAAAGATCCAAATTGTACCAGCTGTTCGAGCTTTTCAAAGAAACAAACTTTTGTTCCACTAATTTATTGGTACAAGTTTTCAAAACGTTAGTAAGAACAGCTGCATCTTCATCTAAAGTTCCGGTAGCTAATGGAAAATCCACGCTTTTCTCAACAAGATTCGAAACAGCTTGCTTCGAATATTTCCTCCAGCTTTTCAATTTTACAAAATTATCGTTATCGTTAACATGGTTTAAGACATTACTTACTAAAGTTTCATGATCGGTTATTTTCAAATCAGCTTGAGTAACTGAACTGACAGAATCAAAATAAGAATAAACATGGTCAATCAAAGTTCTACTGTGCCGGGAAATACGCGTATATGCACTTACTAATTGTTTTAAATTAAAGAAATCAGCTAATTGCTTCAGATGATTCGGATTGCTAGTATCATGCCAATTAATGTTAAACTCACCCGCAAGTATATTTAATTTACTAGAATCTTAAAATGTCTCGAGCCAGTTCTATAAAATTTCTATAAAACTCTAATTACTTGAACTGGGAGAATGATACAAAACACCATAATTAACCAACTTCATGTCACGTTCAACTGTAATGCCTAAGAACCAATTGCCATCAATAACTTCGTTGTGGCGAAGATTGAATTGAACTGATTCTTTGACATAAATAGCAACACCGCCAGTGTGCCTCGAATGTGACAAACAAGCAGCAGCTTTATATCCCGGAATGCTATACTGATCAAAAGATTCAATTTCTACAATATGTGTTTCTGCTAACAAAACCAAAAGTGGACGATTATCTTCTACAATCTGACGTAATGTTACGTAGTTTATAGATAGCCCCGCAAAATTCAAATACAAAATCTCTAATTTACTCACAGTACTACAGGAACTTGGTTGCTATTTATTGAAATGTAAGCTGTTTTTTTCTGATCATGTAGTTTTTTATACACAAAACAATTAGAACTAAATGCTGCGTGGTTGACGTCCAGATCTAATTTTCGCTCCTTATTAGATTTTAAACAATTAACGCATTTCAATACAGTTGACGTACACTTAGAGGTACTGTGTTGTGAAGCGTGGATTTTCAAACATGTTTACTACTTTTACATCATTAATTGCGATGTCTTCATTTTGACTTTTTAAGAAGACATCGGAGAACTATTAAGATAATTTTTTATTTTTTTCCAAAGCAATGTTAAACAGATTTTTGAATGGATTCTAGAGATACTCCCGATCAAAACCTTGGGGTTACCCAAAAAAAAAAAACATGTAAATTTGTTTGTTCATATCTCTGCAATTTTACGTTATCCCTGTGCTTTGGCCAGAGAGCGTATAGGGTTTCGTTGTGCCAATTTGGTCGTGGCACATTTGAGAGATGCGTAAT